GAACAAAATACAAAAATAGATGTGTTGTGAACATGAGTGTATCAAACAGTGTGTAAATATATACTAGCTGCCACAGTCATTTAGGGAAAATAACTAGTTGTTTGCGAGTGGTAAGGAAGATATATATATATATATATATATATATATATATATATATATATATATATATATATGGAAAAGATAAGATAAAGTTGAGTTTAAATTAAATTACCTCATCAGATCTGACGACCAGAGACCAGATAGTGTTTGCTTATAGATAGATAGATAGATAGATAGATAGATAGATAGATAGATAGATAGATACGAGACTGGGTTGTAAAGTTGATAAGCTGACTATAAAGTAATCGTACTAGAGCTCAGACTGTCGTCACTGGGTGTTGACTTCTATGTCCACTTATATATATAATTTTGTATGCATTAATTTCAACATTTCTTATTAATAACTGCATTGTTTATTTTCTGGTAAACTGACATCTGACTATTCAAAAAGGATTGTTCATCCTGTTGGTTAAAAAAGTCATCAAAAGAAAATATGAGGAGAGCTGTTTTTACTACATGGATTGTCTCTTTGTCTCTGGCTCAAAGTAATGAACCCAATACTCGTTGTACATGGAAACCAGCTGGATCTGTCTCAGATAATGTCAGATTGCCCCGTGATGGGATCAGTGCCTTGCTTTTAATCAACTGTCAGAAGACCTTAAATCAGCCCACTCTGAGTCGATCTATTTTTCTCTCTGTTAGCTCGTGTAATGCGTTGTGCTATTATTTCTTTTGCGATGATCGGTGATATGTATGGTCTTGGCCTAGTGGTTATTCTCGAGAATTGTGGAATTAGTGCATGCCCAATGTATTTTCTTCTCAGTGAATCCTTTTCTCTCCTGATCAGAGTGGCATTTAGTAAGTCGAAAAACAAAACAGATAGATTACAGTAAACTACCAGTGTATTTAAAGTGTTGTTATGCGATGCTCATATATTTTTTGTTTGTTCTCCCAATCTTCGAAGTGTTTAGAATTAACCATGAATGTCAACATTCAAAATCCTGCTGTTTACACAGTTTGAAGAAACATACAGTTATAGACATATATCAGCAGAGAGAAAAAAAGAGAATTTTGTTATACGTATTTTCTCGAAAATATTGTTCCTATCTTTGTCCCTGAGACATCTTTTTTCTGTGAGATATATATTTAGAGAATAATACATACACTCAAATATACATTTATACAATAATGTTTGTATGTACTATTTTTTACTTTGTTTTCTATCATGCATTTTTATAAAAAACAAGAACTTTGAAGGTGCATGCAAATATTTTCTTTTGGCCGTATCCAGACAGAAACACTATTGAATAGCACGGAAAGATGTAGTTATATAAAAGAGGAACTCACACAGTGAAGAACGAATTTTCTACCGTTCTTTCCCTAAATGCAAAATAATAATTGTACTTCACTTCATATCTTAAAAACGAGATGGCATTTCTATGTGCGGTAAGGAATATTTACGAACCTGCATTTAATAAAATGCAATACTAAATAGACGAAAATAAGGGTCAAAATGATCGTTTTGTACCAGTTTTTCAAGTAAGAATGCTCTTTCTGTCTTGAAATATACTACATCCTGGTTTTTTTCGACACTTGCATTTTTCAGGAAACTCTTTGTCTATTTCTCTATTTCTTTAAACAAATTTCGTTTCGCTCTCTTTCTTTTAGATTTGGAATTAGCTGCATTCGCCTGCGCCATTCTTTGTTTGACGTCCATGTTGATTGGTCTCATTTCCGGTTCCATAAGTGAATGCCTCCCGAGCCATGAAAGCTTCGTTGTAGCAGCCACGGCTCCCTTGATTGCAGGTAAACATCACCATACATACTCTTCATCTTCTAAAGATGTCAAGATGTTTCGACTCATTTAATTCAGACAGCACAAAGCAATCAACATTATTATGAATCCTATTTAGGCATCTTGGCCAACAGAGAAGCCTTAAGAACTGACTCGACAGGTATTAAACATATGCAATGTTATCTGGCTTGGTATCTAGATAATTATGTTAACAACAGTTGCATTTGACGTTCATCGTACAATCTTTTGTAAGCAGCTTTAATTTTAAATCCAAGAAAAAAACATGTTTTATCTTAGAGACAAAAGAGGCCAAAAAGGTTTCCCTTATGCTTAAATTTTGTAGCTACGAAACTAAAAATATAGCATAATGCAAATCTTGAAAATGGAAATAAAATCCATTATTTAATGATTCGTTAATTGAAATTAGATTCTTATTTATGCTAGTGATTTATATCAATTTTTATTAACATCGATTCGGGATATACGGAAATAAATGGCTATACAGAGTATCAAATACCATACAGATTATTTCCTTGGTAAATACATTCGATTAATAAAATCCTCTTCAAAGCTGTCAATCCGTACAAGTGAGGCGGCATAATTTCATACACTTGCAATGAATGAGCTTTTCAGTCGAGAAAGCCTTATTCTGATAACACTGGGGACAGGTGATTGCGTCGGCGGTTGAAATTATTACTAATCCGTGGATCCTCAACAATACTTTACTATATACTTTAAATATATATATATATATAATATATATATATATATGTGTGTGTGTGTGTGTGTGTGTGTGTGTGTGTGTGTGAAACTGGGCGTTGACTTCTATGTTCACTTATATATATATATATATAGAGAGAGAGATAGAGAGAGAGACATCAACGCTCAGTGGCAAAGTCTGTTTTATTCTTAAATATTCGCAATCGTCAGTCCACTTTTATATTTACATACGCTCTGTCCCTGATCCTGAGCACGTTAACCACTAAATGTAGCATACCCTATATATATATATATATATATATATATATATATATATATATATATATATATATATATATAATATATAATAATGGACTCTCCTGTCGGTTTCGACGTATGAGGATCTGTCAGCTTAGTTGATTCAGTTATGAAATTTTGTGCGATAATCTTAAGTGGCATTTAAGACCCACTAGTGATTTACAAAGGAGGCCACATATGAAGCAAGTGGGAGGATTGTGAGATGAGATCACTGTTAGACTGGCTGACCTTTTAGATCTTGCTCTCGCTTCTTGAAGATGATTCAGACAAGCAGATAGAAAACTGCTGAGTCCACTAAAACACGTTGATCTCCATTCTACCCGCTCCAAGGCTAAGTGCTCAAGGGTGGTATGTGGTATATTGACTGCTAACAAGTTGCTTTTCAGCTTGTCTTTGTATATTTAGCCATGGGCGTCCTATATATATATATATATATATATATATATATATATATATATATATGATAATATATTCTATTTGAAACATGACACACTACCTGCCAAAAGACCTAAAATGAAGTTGATTGTAGTAATAACAAAAAAACAAGTAAAAATCAAGAAAAACCTTAAACAAGAAAAAAGAAACTCCTAAAAGGCATACACCTACCTAAGTAGCAAATGACAGTGAACACATGTTTTTGATTAGTGAAACGCTGTTTTTTCTATATCTCTGAGATAAGGTATTATGATTACTTACATTATTTACATTATTCGGACTGTGACTAAGACCCATAGAGTTGTGAGTTCGATACCAAGTTAGAGTAGTGGTGAACCAAATCTTGGAGAGATGAGTTAAAGGGAAATAGCTGAGACATCCAGAATAGGCATAGCACATGGAACTAGAACAATCTATCCAGATGGACGAAATAAAGGGTTCGATCGAAATTCCAATCACCTGAAGAAGGCCGGAGCGTGCAACGACCGAAACGTTGTGAATATGGCATTGAAAATGAGGATAACAGTGTGAATAATGTAAATAATGTAAGTGATCCCTGTTTTTTTTTTTTTGTTTGTTTTTTTTTTAAACAATGAAATTAATAACAACCGGCTTAGATTTACTGGACATTTCGAGCTAGGCAGGTTGTTATTAATTTCATTACTTAAGAAAAATAAAATTAAAATTAAAACAGGGTTATCAACTGAGTCACTAAAAATAACGCTCTGCTCGTACTCCTCTGGTACGATGACTTCGCATATGACTTAATTTTCTTGCTTTACTCAGGCAAACCATGCCTCAAACATCACAAGTGGTGTTCTGCGAATCACCTATATGATCTGAAGGTTATTATATTATAATTTTATTATATTATTATGTATTTATTATCTTTATTAAAATACAAATTTGTTTATGTTTTTAAAAATAAGTCGTGGTAAACATCGATATACTTTATTACGAATAGGAATAGATAGGATTGCCTAGCTTTCTGTTCACATTACTCCTCAGTCTTTTGAACAAGAGTAGTGATTTATCTCTTGTTTCCTTTTTAAGATTGGATTTCCGGTTCTTTCTAAAGTCTTCTCATTCTTTTTCACTCTCAGTAGCCTTTCCATCTTAGTGGCATTATCGTCTTGTTTGGGGGAAGTAATTAAAAAAATATTATTACTACGAACTATTATATTATTATGAACATTTAATCATTGCATTTTCTAAATTACTTATATATAGGCATGAATGATTGAAGTTTATTTATAATTTATCATGAGATTTTTTTAATGAAAGAGAACGTATTTTCGAATTTGTCAGAAAAGAGTATCGTGTCCTAAGATTTATATATATATATATATATATATAGAGAGAGAGAGAGAGAGAGAGATATTTATGTGTGTGTGTGTGTGTGTGTGTGTGTGTGTGTGTGTGTGTGTGTGTTGTGTGGCCTTGTCTATTCAACAATTTTAAAATATAACGGAAGAGAAACTGAAATCGGAAATTATTTCTGCAAAAAATTAAATCTATGCAAAAAATTGATGATTAAGTTTGAAAAATTAATTAATCGTTCCATGTTTATTCTCCTCCAGCGAAATGTATGTATATTGTGTGTGTGCGTATGTGTATGTTTGTATATCTGTGCGTTTCTTCTATTCTAGAGAAATGTATGCTTGACTAAGTTCAATTTTTTTAATCATCTTAATTCCAATCTTTCTTTCCAGCTATGATGCTAACCAGTGCAATTGGCTTATTCCACGGTAAATGTCACTTACTCCAAAGGCAAGAATTGATTCCGGGCGAAGCGCTTCCTTTTAAAAAACTCTTCCAGGAATCTCGAACTTACAGCCACGGCTGGTCATTCGTCCTCGCCTGGATCTGCGTTATACTTTGCCTAGTCAACTCCTTTGTCTGGCTAAATAAGGGACAGAACAGCGGTTACTTGCCCTACCGGGGTGGGTTTGGTTATGGTGCCGACAAGTACCAATACACGCCACCCTCAGTACCCAAATCGGTGATCAAACGGCGAAAAAGCTTGCATAAGTTCTTTTCCGGTGAAACACTGGCATCCATGCTGCAACGGTCGAGATCGAAGGAGAGCAAGAGGGCGGAGTCGACAAGCAGCGTTGACACCGACGACAAGAGGTTCTATTCAGATGACAACTATAATATATCTGACGACAGAGCTCTCATTGGTACGTAGAATGTATAAAATAGAAATGGATAGAAATAAATTAAATAACTGTCGTCGGTATTAACGGAAAATGCATCTTTTTTATTATTGGAAAATTATTTATTTTTTATTAGAAGAATTTACATGCACTCCATTTTCCAAATATTTTCTTTGCATAAATATGCACACCTCCCTTTCAGACAAATTCTAGAATAAATTGTAAATTAATTCATTATAATTACATCAAATTAATTTAGTTTTAGTTTCCATACTATAACGGATATAAAATAATTAATCAATTAAATTTTCTTATAAAATTTTTTAAATTAAATTTCTAATTTACCAATTTTTAGATAATATTAAATTCTTGCATTGGCCACAAATGAACCACACTCACTCGTAGATACATTTGTCACTTTTCGAAGTATAATTCGTGCACATATCGATCACAATATTACAAACGACCAAAATACTATACCACAACAAATACAAAGAAAGACACAGAACTCAAGAAGCTTTTACACTAAAAAAAAAATACCACATTAAAGAAAATATCAGGAAGTGTGTAAAAATATTTAAAATAAGACTACTTCTACTATTATAATATAATACGTATATTTGATATATGCTTTTTCGATGCGGTTTTGCTTGGTTTCATCGTTACACTTGATATCACTTTGGAATGATTCAGAATTTCACATCTGTAAAGATACTAATGGAATCTTGTATGCCACATTGATAGCACATGTTTTTGATAATGACTGAGGTGATCGAAATTACTTAGACAGAACAGAAAAAAAATGAACTTCGAACTTCGGACAGTCTGTCTACAATTTCGAACCCAGCACACAACATCTTATTCGAAAATTTTAAAAATACAATAAAAATAAACAAACATACACTGTTGGTTGAATTTAACAAAGAATACTTTGACATTTACTGAAATATACCTTATTATATATGTGTGCGTGTGTCTGTGTGTGTGCGTGCGTGTTTTGCATGTTGCAATGACCAATTTTTCTTCCTGACACACCCTACAGGAACCACTATTCACTTTACTAGCTTTCACTATTTTTAAATTATTCCATTTAATGGCCGGTCTATATTAGATACTACTCTTAAATACTGAAAACTTCTTAGAATTAAGCAGAGTTATGTTTTTATATAGCTTTCTTATGCCATCGACTCACCCCTGTATGTATATGAGTGCAAATTTGGGTAAATACCAAAGAAAATCGTTGTTAGGATTTTTTTATATTTCGGACTATTTTCTCGGTTTTCAGGAAAATATTGAATGTAAATTATCCGATACCTGAGTACTTTCGAGTTTTTAATAAGTCATTTTCATAGACTTTTGTTGTTAATATCGTGTCAATATGTGTTTATTATGTTCTTTGTCATGTCACTTAATCTTTTTTTCAAATATCGTATCTTCACTTTAATTTGAAAGTTTTTCAAAACCTTTATGGTTTGAATATACTTCATAAAATAAGTATTTTGCACCACTTGTATTCGTTAAATTATTTCAACTAGAGACAGTGTCAGGCGCGTCTTGTCTGGACCAAAGCAAAATATAATTGAAGCGTTCTTCAATGGACCAAAGTCCTTTTTCAAGATGAAAGTAAATGTTGCATTTTATTTGGAAATCAAGGAGGAAAATTAGAGAAGCATATAATCTAAGTTATTTGCAGTTCAAATAATTACAATCACCGCAAAAATGTATTTTTCTGTCTTTTCAGAACTTGACTATAGTCGAGAAGAGCTGCCGCTGCACCCAGGAGGAATGTAATCAATACGACGATTGGAATTTCCATTGCACTCCTGATACCTTAACACTTCTTATTGCTCCCTTTTTCTCTTCCTCCTTCCGCTCTTTACCTCTTACTTTTCCGTGGAACTCGAACCAGGCAGCAATGACGAACCTACAGTATTTCTCGTCGTGGACCACTGATGTGGGTCTCTTTGTTAAAATGATATAGAAAATGATTACACCAATACAATAATTTGATTGTTGAAGAATCGAATGAACAGTGCAGTAAAACAAATCCGGCATCAGATGCGACGAATGAAACGTGGTTTCTTAACAAGAAACAAGGTTTTTCCTGATCTCCATATTTTCATTATATTTACGCTTTGCTCCGAGCGGAAAATGCGTTGTTCTATTTTTCAATTTATTGCTAAACCGACAACAATATATGGGTTACACAGATTGCAATTATATAAAACTTGCTATATTTATGAAAAAAACGAAGAGTGCTCAATAGTGGAGACAGGGCATTTGTAGATATAGACAATGGGAACATAAAAAGTAATATTTCAAGTTTCATGCTATCTTCAAATTATGTCTTAAGATCACTTGATTCATGAAGCAAACAGTCACCATGCAGATTCGTTTTCAATGTTCTCTCTCTCTCTCTCTCTATATATATATATATATATATATATATATATATATATATATATATCTATAAAGACGAGAAAGAGAGAGTGGGGGAGGGAGGAAGAAAAAATTAGTATAAGTTTCCTTAGTAACTACTGATATTTTTGTTTTCATTTACGTTTCAAAAGCATATTCAGTACGATTTTCATTTGACCAGACATAGATTCGATTCTGTCTGCAAAGACAATCAATAAGACACGTATTTATGAATCGAATTTCGATCTGAAATATTTACTGCATAATGCGCGATCTATCTGATTAATATGCACTACTGAATGAAGTGCATTAACAAGGAATATTATATCATAAGATTATACGCATACATAAAAACACAAATATGTTTATACGTATATACACATATATATATATATAAATACGCACAAATAAATATATATATATATATATATATATATATATATATATATATATATATATATATATATATATATATATATATATATATATATATATATATATGCGTACTGCTGTGTGCATATATATTTATGTACATATACGCATGTACCGAGGCACTCATGGAGAGATGTGTATGCCTTTTATACGAATCTATATACGCGCTTCAATTTATGTGCGTACTATACAAGAGTGCCTATAAAATCTAACAATGATGTGGACATTTATCTGAATCTGTAACTTTCATCAGTTGATAAACAAAACCTGTGTGGAGGGGTGCAGATAAGGAATGAAAAAGTCTCAAGTGTTCCCAAAGTTGAAGTTCTTAAACGCCGGTTTAACAATAAATTGAAAATAATACTCAACTCAAGATTAAATGGTGACGTGTTAATAACGTCTGTATTGCAATAAAATAAAGAAAAACAAAAATCTGAGATGAAGGAGAAATCAATTCTGTTGCCTGAAAAGTAAATGAAAACTGTTCTCAATAAGAAGAAACAATTCCACAAAAATCATTGAATAAAAATATTCAACATGTAAATTCAAAATGCATGGTTTTTCAAGTAAAGACGATAACTCAATAAGTTGCCATATTGGTAATGAATTGCTTTAGATAATTTTTCAAAATAATAAATAAAAATCCTGATCCCTACAATTTTAATTTTGGGAAACAGATTTAAAACTGCAGGTAAAGAAAGCTGCTCACATGTTGAAACAAAACCATTGAGACAGCACCATATTTTTTTAAATCCCGATTTCTCCTTTATATTTTTTAAAGTCTGAATTATAAAAATAACTGATGCCGGAAAAATGATATAATGAAAAGTTTATTAATCCCAACGTCTTTGACAAAAGTTTCGAATTTTATTTGCCTTTGACAAATGATCCTCCCTCTTCTACATGTTAACGAACGAAGAGAATTCACAAATTTTTAACAAAGTGTAGAGAAAAATATGATCTTGTAAAAAAAAGAAAACCAACAAACTTTGCATCGAATTTACAATGGGTCACTAATCTAATTTCTTGCTATACGTTTATGCTATATTGTTAACAAGATGTACACTGAATTCAAAACCGTACTTTCGAACTGCAGTTGAATGGTTCAAATGAGGCAGGATAAACTATAAAAAAAGAAAAGGGGTTATCAAAAGACGCCTGTTATAATTTTAAAAAATGAATCCTGATTGAACCAAAGATTCTAACGAAAAGTTTTAGTAACGGCATATATTCGAGAAGCGATAATTGTTTGAAAGAATAAACTTGAAGCGAATGAGTCGAAAAATCTATAAATATCTTGGCAAGCAAAGTAGTAATAAACGACTCGTAAAATTATTTTCTGGTCAATGAGTTGATTCGTTAAATCACTCAAATAAAATCCACAAACTTTCTACGAATATCGCCAATCTCTTTAAAAAGCAGTAATGCCGATTTGGCATTAAAGCTTCTTTTGCTTTCATATTCTCCATCTCCTTTTTCTCTTTGAATGATTACTGTCCGGTAACACACTGCACTTATAAGCAACCACAGACATCAAGGAACCACATACTTTTACATCTTTATGTAAAGAATAGCAAATTACTGAGTAACCCACCATCTATGTAAATGCTGTTAATCAATTCTTTGGTGGGTGTGTCACTGCTTGAATCCCCTAAAAATTCCTCGAATAAGCATAAATGTTTTTCATTAATTCAGGATTAAATTAATCCCGAAAAAATATTACCGGTCATCAATATTTTGTTGGCCAATCAAAATTCGAACAATCAGCACCAAACAACAAATAACAAACGAATGCGAATCAATGAACGCGCTTCTTTCTCTCACACTTCGAGTTTTTCATCATTCTTCGTTTTTATTGAGAAACTTCTTTATTTCATTATTCCTTTTCTGATGAATAACATGGAGCACAGAAATATAATTCGAAATACAACCTCATTTGTTAATAAAATATTGATTAGATACAAAAAGTTTTTTTTCTACTGCATTCAGTTCGTCTTCTTTGTTTTCAAATTCTCTTCTGGACAAGCAGACTGCACTAAAAGATTTATGAGCGTGAATTTACTAAGACTCAATCACATAAATTATTTAGTAATTTGTCAATAGAGACTGCAATTCACCAATACACCAAAGATTTTTTCATCGATGGGCGTTTTATTTTTTTTTCATCATTACATATTAACATAAACGTTATTATTTAATTATGGTGAACCATATGGTTACCAATTTGAAATTGACGTCGTTCGACCTTACTGGAACATACCGATGAAATTGATGTCTGGAAGTGCAATGGTTCACAGATATATTGATCATTTGGCGAAATTTGGGAACCGATGTCCACACCTCCTTGGTGTTTTTCATCTATCTCCCCGTTTCCCTCTCTCTCGCTCTCTTTCTCTCGCTCTCTCTCTCTGCCTCTCTCTCTCACACACATGCACACACATACACACACACACATACACACTCTAGCTGTTTTCAATATATACATAAAGTTTCGATACAGAAAAGACTTTGTCTCAACTTCAAGAATTCATTTACATTGATTCAGCTATCTGATCAAGAAGCTTTCAGTCAATACTTTGCTGTAAAATGGTGCCATGAATCGTCCTTTTCACCATTGTAAATTTGAACGAATTCTCTTGGTCATTAAATGTTAATCGATAAATCAACTTGATACATGTGAAATTATTTCTATTTGTTCAGAGCAATTTTATGAATTTGACATTGGATAGAAAAAGTAAGATCTACTCTTACCACATTTTCTAATTTACCGTACATTCTGAATAGAAAGTCAGTCAACACAATATTACTTCATTTGCTCATTATAAAACAGCAACTAAATTTAACAAAGCGACTTTAACTCATTCTGAAAAGATAATTACGTTTTTGAGAATGGATATGAAACAAATTTGTCATTTGTAGAAATTTATTTTGTTTCGTTTCAAAAGCAGAGAAATTTCATTTTATTCTCTTATTTTTTTTTCAAATGCAACACCTAGATTAATTTATGATGCACTGGCTTAATGCCATTTTATGCAAAGTGAATCCCGCTACCAATGGCTTGTGAGATCATCACGCTTAACCATGCACGACTCGATTCCAATATTTGATTTGGATAACACCAGAAAGCAATTTGCTGTTACCTTCCTCGTTCTATTCGGACACATTTGTCAGTCGATTTAGGCAGTCACTACGTGCAACTTATTAGAGAAGAACAGTAGGTATTTGTTAAGCAAAAACATCTCAGCAAGCATGACTTATTCTGGAAACACCAAAGAAATTTTGATTGATGGAAAGATAGTACCAAGAATTTTGTTAATTACAATTTGACTCATTTCTATAAGATTTACAAGACAAGCAGTCTAACCACAATATTCTAACAAATGTTTCTAGTTTCAATCAAACCAAGTTTGGCACGGCATCAAAAATTCTCCAGTGATCGAAATAATTACTAATTAATCAGAACGCTAAGCACTACACTAAAACAAAACAAGTGTTTAATAATTTATTGCAGTCCAAACTAAGAAAACAGTTTTTCTTCTCCAGATTTTTCTTTTATCCATATAAGGGGATGTGTTTCAATTTGTAATCCTCTATGTCTCTTATGTTAAAGATGATACAAAATCGAAACTCGTTCCTCTCCATAATAAAAGTTGTATTTGATTTCAACAATGAAATAATGACAAAAAGGATTATTACTCTTCAATATCGATAACTCTAACCGTGATTTCTTTTACCATTAACAATTGTTTTCATTATTTTCAACACTTCTGTTTTTCTTTTTGGCGCTCCATACATGTGACCTTGTGCCAAACTAAGCAAAGCTTAGTATTTAAACACATTTCTACTTTCTTCATTTCAAAACAGAAATACTTCGAATATAAAGAGGCTAAAATTATTTTGCGTTTTGAATTTAAGGGCTGGTATAACGATTCATATGGTGGTAATGGTGTTTGGAAGAAATTTAAGTAGGGATTTGAGCAAAATATTTTTGTCCAACACTACTTACACTCATTCTTATCTACAAATATTTCGATATCTCTAATTCGCATTAAACGGTTAGAGGGTAATTACTTTATGAACAGGTCACAATAGACAGTTGGAATCATTATTGCTTTCTACTACTGATTATGA